GGAAGTTCTTATTAACCACGTGGGCGCCATTTGTAACGAGTACGGTTTTTTCCGCCCGCCGCCGCTGGTCTTGTCCCGCCGCCGCACCAGCCCCAAATAATACACAGAGACTCTGTATTTGATACAATGCTGTTGGCCCTGTTACTTGTTTCTTATCGGCTAGCTCTGCCTTAATTATTAACCCATTTCTGCTGATCTATGTATTTCTCTTACCGGGAGCCGGCGGCATACTGCTTTCTCCAGACTCTCCATCTTGGCTCCTCCTTACTCCTTCCTATTTCCTCCTTGTCTCCTAGTCCCTCCTATCTTCCTTTCCTATTGGCCAACAGTGCTTTATTATTAACCAGTATGAGAAACATATACAGAATGACATCTCCCATCAATAGATAGATAGATAGATAGATGGATCCCTCCTAACATGGGTGACAACTCACTAAAGCCACATTCTTGGAGCTCTTTGTACAACTTGCAGGCAACTCAACAGGTCTAAAAGTCCTTTCTCTACCACTAGTCAGAGACTCTTCCTATAGCAATTGTTTACTGTTTTGATAAAGCAGTCAGGGGTTTCCAGAATTTTCTAAGTGTCATCCTTCCCAGACATATGACAATCTTCTGAATCTTACCTTCTTCTAGGGGGGTATTTTGATTCCCAGGAAAGTCTGTTGGATTGCAAAATCTAATTGACAATTGACAATCACTTAGGCAATGGGATGAACCTTTAATAGTATTTTAGAGTTGGTAAGAGCAAAAGAAGTAATAAATATTTAGAGTAAGGAAGTGTTCTCTAAGACTATCAGAAATTATAGTTCTGTTTATTTTCAAGGTCATTATGCATGTAAGGAGAGAGAAACGGCTTCTTTTTCAGTCCTTCTATAATGTCATCTCAATGCTGGTCTGATTTCTTCATATATTCTCTCTTCTTTTCATAGTATTTTGTGGTAAATTAAGTAGAAACAGGGGACATGGGGAGACTAGAAGCTATGCAGCCGGGATACTTTTGTTATAGTATTCTCCTGAGGGGTCCTGGAGCCAGCTTGGGTTTACACTGATTTCCTGCCAATTTTCAGCTAGGAGCACTGAATATGTTCCAAAGATAGTTGGTTCAAAGCCCAGCCACCTCAGAAAAATCTGGGAAGAGAGAGCATAGAGACTGGGGTGGCTTGTCTTGTTTGTGTGGTTGGGAAGCATGCTGTGTTGGCTACATAAAGAGTCAGGGAGATTTGAGATGAGTGCCCCATTCTTAGAAAAATTAAGCACAAGTAAGCGTAAGTGGCTCTTGCGAAGTTATAGGGAGTTGATACTAGGACTACCATAATGATTCATAGATACTATTCCACAATTTTGGCACCCATTTGTGAAAATACACACCGGAAGACAGCAGAACTGTTTCTGTGTCTACTCTTCTACTAAGAAGCTTTGTAACACTGGTCAAATCTTTTCAGGTGATCTGTGGCTTCGTTTTCATAATTTTATCCCCTAAAGCATTAAGAATGTTGGATGAGTAAAAGGAATGAAGATACTCAGACAGTTGCATAAGAATTGGTAGACAATACTTTCTCTCATTTTCTTTGATTGCCTATTTGCCTCTGTCTTCTGCTGTCTCTCCATATGCTGGTGAGTAGATTAGTAAACTCCAGTGCCACATTACTCTGAAGACTACCGCAAGGAAGGCTCTACAGGTCGTGCGTCCAGTGGAAAACCTCTCCCTGAAGTTGCCCTGCCATTGATGTCTTAGTGGAAGGCCCAGTTTAAGAATCAGTCCACATTCTTTTGAGGCTAAATATTTTCAAAGATTTTGTGTGTGTGTGTGTGTTCCAAAGTTCTGCCAGCTTCTCGAAGAGCCACAGCAAATATTGTTTTGTAGGTCATTGTACATTTTCTTTACCACAAGATGCTGAGATTTTGAATAATTAGAGCCCAGGGGGCAAATGGCCCTGTTCCTGTCCTTTCCCCCAAAGACTTCCACTCATTTGTACCAGCTGCAGTTGTTTGTTTGTATGCACACATGGGCAGGGCCAGGGACTTATGACCCAGACAGAAAGTAAAATTAGTATGAAATAAAATCTGTCTTAAGAGTTCTTATTTTTAAGGGAAAATTCAGAAACTATTCTTTTTTTTTTTTCTTATTTTATATATAGATCCCATTTCCCTCTCCCTACCTCCCTCCTTCCCTCACATGCCCCCCGACCACGCTCTCCTCCCATTCCACCCCCACTCCATATGGAGGCTGGTGCCTTCCAGGAGGGGTCAACAAAATCTGTCAAGTCATTTGGAGTAGGGACTAGGCCCTCCCTCCTGCCTTTATGTTAAAGGAGTATCCCTCCATGGGGAATGTGCTCCCAAAGTCCTTTCATGCACCATAGATACATCCTGGTTCCACTGTCAGAGATCCCTCAGACTGCCCAGGCCTTCTGAGACCCATGTTCAGGGGTCTGAGTCAGTCCAATGCTGATTTCCCAGCTATGAGTCTGGGGGTCCATTAGTTCCTCCTTGTTCAGGTCAGCTGTCTCTGTGGGTTTCTGTAGTCTGGCCTTGTCCTCCCTCTCTGCATCTGGGTTCCAGTTCAGCTCAGTGTTTAGCTGTGGGTATTTGCTTCTTTTTCTATCATGTACTAGATGAGGGCTTTATGATGGTGGATTAATTTAGTCATCAATCTCATTCTTATGGGTCATGGATAATAGTTCACATCCAAGGAAAGAACAGTCGAGGTTAGATCAACTTATACAGAAAAGTAGAAAACCAAATTTTAGCTAAATCATTGAAGTAAAGTTTTCTGGGTATTTTTGCACATGTTTTAAGACACCATAGTTCCTATGATCTGTTGGGTTGGGCTTTGGTTGTAGTTAAATGACCCTTTGCCTGCAATAGGTTTGAAGTTATTGACACTTTTCTTGGTAGTGGATAGGAAGGAATTTCAGAAGCACCAGTCAATATCCTAATGCTTCTAGTTACAAGTTATGTGATCTTGGACAGATAAGTTAATTTTGTGGTACTGCACATCAAACTTGGAGGCAAGTCAAGCACTCTACCACTGACCTATGCTCCAAACTCAGGTCAATATATTTAATTCTTGATTTCTATAATTGTTATGCTAATATATAAATCAGTATGCTATTGGTAAACACCAATAAAATCAGGTACTTAAAAGCACCATATGCAGTGTACACTTAGGACTAAATAAATGTTGAGTGTTATATTATGATGGTGATGATGATGACAAATACTGTTATTACAAGCCTTTGCCATTTTGCTGTATCTTGTGAATAATGTCAGTATGTTTTTAACAGTTATAATGGCTTATATTTTATACACATAAAATGAACTCTTACTCATTATATATTTTACTAATAAAAATCACCCCACCCCCTAAGCCTCTTCCTAAAGAAATCCATTGCTCCTCAGATTTCACTTTTCACCATCCTGTGGTATGCACATTCCACACACCAATAATCATTACTATTGGAACATAATCATTACTTTTTGTGTGCATGTGTGTGTGTGCATGCATGCGTGCATGTGTGCGCATGTGTGTGTAAGAGAGTGAGACAGAAGTAGAGGAGGCAGAGAGAAAATGAACAGAGATGAATAGAAATGAAGAACATGCAATACAGAATATACTAAGGGAAAAAAATGAAAGAAAATCTCAGTCAGGTGGTAGTGGCACACACCATTAATCCCTCCCAGCACTCAGGAGGCAGAGGCAGATGGATCTCTGTGGGTTTGAGGCCAACATGGTCTACAAAGCCAGAGCTACACAGAGAAACCCTGTTTCAAAAACCAAAATGACATTAAGAGATCATTCTCTTAAAGTAAACTCACTGAGTGAATTAACTTTTCTTCTATATGGCAACTGTATGCTAAACTCTGAAGCAGAAATACATGAAAGGGATTCAGTTTCAAAACAATTCATACACAGGTGTAAACGGGATGATAGAAGGATACCAGGGCTTGTTTCTTCAATAAAAAGTGAAATGAGGAATCTAACCCACCTTATTCAACACCACTTTTAATAATCTATATGCAGCCTCTTTGTAAGCGGTTTGCTAGGTGATCATAGTCAGATGTTCCTGCAATATTCAAGTTTCAGGTTACGTGTTTTAGACATTAGGCACCTTGAGATGTCTGAAGCACTGGCTAGAATCATAGCACAATACTCTGTAGAGAAAAGCAGATGAGAATTGAACCTTTATAGGCAAGGACATCAACAGGTATATAAGAGTGAAAGAAAAAGACTGTCTTGGTGGAGGAATTAACTATAAGTAACATCCACAGAGACCAGAGGAAATACATAATAAGCTACACAAAAATGTATACGTACAAATGTATGCCAAGCTGTATAAAATTACAACAAAGGAAAATGTTTCCAGGGTAGTTAGAGTAAACAATAGATGTTTTTTCTGAAGGTCTAAAAGAAGATCAAACTAGACTCCCATAATATAGGTGACAACAGTGTGACTGGGACAGTGTATAAGGCTACTGGCAGTGGGTCCAAGACCTAATACTAATGCACAAACTGACATAGTGGAGCCCGTTCTACATGCAGAGATACCTTGCCCAGCCTAGACACAGGGGTGTGTGGGTGGAGAGGTGCTTTGGTCCTGCCTCAACGAGATGATGGGATAGACTTAATAGACTTCCTAGGGGAGGCCTTACCCACTTTGTGGAGCAGATGGGAGGAGGGGGTGTGGAGGGAGTGGGAGGGAAAGGGGGAGGGGGAACTGGGACTGGAATGTAAAAAGTAAATTAATAAAAAAAGAGGAAAAAAAGAAGTGCTCAATAAATTCTTCAGAAAAGATAACCATAGATGGTCAGGTGTAATTCTTCTGTGGCTGGCTGTTTTAATAATACCTATGATTGTTAACCTCTGGGACAAGGATTGTGTTTTAACTTCCTCTGTGTAGTACAGCCCCATCTGCTGTTGGGAATTATGAAATTCTTTGCAACCATGCCAATACTTGATGTGTTTTGTTTTTTTTTTCACATCCACTCTGTTCCAGAAGATTCCTTACCACCAGTGAACAACAAGGTGACCAGCAAGTCATGTGAGTACAATGGAACCACTTATCAACATGGAGAACTGTTTATGGCTGAAGGGCTCTTTCAGAACCGGCAACCCAATCAGTGCACCCAGTGTAGCTGCTCGGTAAGACCCTGCATCTTAACGCCCCTGCTGGTTAACTAGCCAGATCAAAAAGTAACTGCCTCTGCCCTTATGTTTTCAGTGAAACAGAGACTATACGGTGTTTGAATGAAGATAAGATTATTTAACTAAAGCCTCCCCACCTGTCCAAACTACCTGATCTTCATCAAGTTTGAACAGTTATCAAAGAGTTAAAAGTCAGTTGTATCCAAGGCTTACAGCCATAAGAGTACTGAAATAGGCAAAGATGGGCTATTTGACTTAACCAGCACCTACTTTTCTTAAATAGTAACACCACCTAACCCTTCACCTGAAAGATTCATAGTAATTGAAATCTTGGTAATGCTATAGGCAGAACACTTAGCATTGTTCTAGGGCTACTTGATCCAATTTGAAGAGGAAAAACAAACAAACAAACAAACAAACAAAACACAGGCCATCTATTTTTTCCTGTTCTACTTCTAGGTACTTCATCACTGGATCACATCCCTATTCCTTTCATCTTATCGTTAGTCAATTCCCACTATTCTGCAATGAGAAAATTATGTTAATGCTTTATCACAATGATTCTCAGTAAATTATTTATCATTGTATATACTTTATAAAGTCTAAAAACTATATCCTTACCTAATTGTATAGTCCAGAGAATGTTAGAACAATAAAATAGGGTAAAATAGATATTTAGAATGAAGCATGAGCGGAGTCATCAAAGGCTTCTCAGAGAGAGTCAGGTAGTGGCTTCTTGGGTGAAGGAGGCATCAGTTTTCTTAAGGGTGTGTCTCTTGGTAAATGCCTCATTCTCCAGTGGATGGCCCCTCATGCCCGAAAGTATATGAGTGGTACAAATAGACTCAATGGTTTATCAAAAAAAAAAAGAACAAGATATTGGGAGGGGGTGAGGATGGGAATGAATCTGGGAAAAGTTAAGGGAGGAGTAAAGGAAGAATGTGATCAAAATACATTGTATGTATGCATGAAATACTCAAATAATAGTAAAATATTATGTTTTAAGAAGATGAAGCATCAGTATTTATCCCTAGTATACGAATGGACTTTGGGAGCCCATTCCACACAGAGGGATACTCCCTCAGCCTAGACACATGGAGAAGAGCCTGGGCCCTGCTCCAAATGATAGGACAGACTTTGAAGATCCCCCATGGAAGGCCTCACCCTCCCTGGGGAGCAGAAAGGGGATGGGATGAGGGTTGGTAGGGAACAGGGGAGGAGGGGAGGTTGTAGGAACTCTGAACGACATGTAAAACAATCTTGTTTCAAATTTAAATACAAAAAAAATTACCAAAAAAGAAGATGAAGCATGAGAGGGTGGCACTAGAGGATTGTCACACGTTTGACAAGCAGCAGAGGTACACAGCAAGACCTTGCCTCAAAAATTACAACAAAAACAAAACAAACAACAAAACTATTTTTAAAAAATGAAACTGGAAGGAACGTAAAAACATCTTTACTAATTGACTGGAGCAATAAACAGTGGATTACCAAGGATAATGATAGAATCGCTTCCAGTTGGGATTTGTAGTAAAAATACAGTATCTCGGTAACCTGGAAGAATTTTATTGGGACATTATTTATCTAATGATCTTTTGAGCTTTAGTAGGAAGTGTGCCCAAGAACAAAGCACAAAGTTGAAGAGATAATATTTTAAAAGTAGAATTCTAAGAAATAGAAATTATTTGAATAACAGATGTGGCCAGGCAGGGTGTTGCATACCTTTAGTCCCAGAACTCGAGAGGCAGCAGCAGGCCGATCTCTGTGTGTTTGAGGCCAGTCTGGTCTACAAAGCTATGTAGAGAAACCCTGACTTTGGAGGGGGGATATATAATAGATTGTTATTTGTTGTTTGAGAAAGGGTGTCATGTAGTCCAAGCTGGCCTTAAACTCACTGTGAATAATAGATGTAACTCCCAAGTAAAGTGGCTCCTCTCCCTGGTTTCACATGGGATTGATCTGTGAAATATAAATCTCCTTGTATAATTTCATCCCCGCAAGGTAGCCTGTCTTTTAGGTTTTGAAAGAAGATTCACTCACTGAGTGTTCTAAATAGTAGCTATGGCACAAATTCTCATTTCCATCCACTCTCAACAGCTAAACATGCTATAAGGACTGAAGGATATAGTAAAATTAATAGAAAGGAACAAGGTTTGGAAGCTGGTGGCAGCCCTCGCAGAATGCTGTCTGTTTACTTGGATCCAGGTAGATACCTGGCAAAGATTGCTAACTCTTTGCAGAGTTCATCTCTCTTGTGAAGAAATAGGAAATGGGAAATGAAATAATGTGTGAGGAAATGCAAGAAGAACCTAAAGCTAGCTGTAAGAGAGCAGTTCCATGTTTTGAGTCCCAGCTGTATCCCAGGTACTGAGATAATCCCTGACAAATACTTATCTCGCATCAGCCTAGAACTGATTCTGGCTTTCCTTGGCAGGAGGGGAATGTGTACTGTGGTCTTAAGACTTGCCCTAAAGTGACCTGTGCGTTCCCAGTCTCTGTTCCAGATTCTTGCTGCCGAGTATGCAGAGGTAAGTGTCCTATATCCCAAGAATCTGAGGATTGCCATCCTGAGTAGTAGAATTTAGGTAAAAGTAAAATACTTGTCCCATCTCTGAGGGAAAAGGAATTGGTTGTGGCAGTCTTCGTATATAGAAATGGTCTCAAATTATACACTAAACGTACTTGTCACTTCAAACCTGTCTTTTCTTCTTTAGCTTCTATTTTGGTTTTATGGTGGTATCAGATTTTTTTTTTAAAACTAGGCTCCTGGCCTCGTACTTAGTCACCTTTAACTTGGCCTTGCTTGCCTCTTCTCAAATTACCAAATCTATCAGCAGTCTTTTCTAGTGCTTCCCATTGGCAATATTAGTATTTTCTTCTTTAGCTACATACTATCAATGAATGTATCAAGCATCTCCTGTATTTTAACCTAAAACTAAACCGTGTCCAAAGCTGTGTCTATAATATATGCATATGTGATGGTATATTGCTAGGTTGTTTATCATCTTTATGTGAATTACAAAAAGGAACCCCATACTTAGTATACTCTATTGTCATTTTCTAGAAGGTCCCTATATATTTATACCTCCAGCTCTGGTACACTTATGCAAGACACAACCTGCGCAGCCATAGCAAAGATAGGTTTTTTGCCCTTCTAGAACTCATTTCACCAGAAAAGACAAAAAACAAGCAAGCTAATATCTAAATATAGACAATATGGGTATTATTAAAACAATAAATAAAAATATGATATTTTAAAAATCCTAAGTTCAAGCTTGAATGTGAGGAAGGCACTAGATAAAGAATCTTGAAATTTAAGCCTGAAAGATGAAAAAGAGCCATCCATGCAAAGAGCCTGGGGAAGAGAATTCCAGACAGAGATGAAAAACAGTTCTAAGGCCCTAGGAAAGAAAGTGCTTGAAGCATTCCAAGAGTCTGAGAAGCAGTGTAGTCGGAATAAGGTGACTGTGGTTGAAACTGGCAAGAGATGAGATGAGGCTGAAGGGATGAGCAGAGGTTAGAACATGCAAGACTGTGGAGGCTATGGAAAAGGAATTTGGATTTCAGTTCTTTTTAATGCCTGGAAAACCAGTGGAAATTTGTGAGCAAGAGCACTGTAGTGGTTCCATGAAAAGGACGGATGCACTGCCTTTGTTGTCCAAGTTGTATTAAAGGGACGCAATAATATGGGAGGAGAGGCCCAAGAGGTTGATAGAGTGACCTCTCCAGCATAGGAGAATGGGGCTTGCTCTTTGGATCACAGTGTAAAGAAATTGCCCTAAGTGCAGTCTATGGGATCATGATGTTTCAGGGTTAGCCCCAACCTGGATATTTTCTAGATGAATGACCACCCTAAACCCATCTAACAGTCTCTACAATAAGAAAAATGGTTATGAGATTTAAGTGAGATAATGCAAGAAAGGGCCTAGGACAGTCTACAATAGCCTGAGGAATCAGTAATGAAAAGTAGACAAGTGTAATATGTATCTACCTCATTGTTTTTCAACCATGAATTACATAGGATCTGTCACGGTGGACTCACTCCCAGACCAGGAGAAGAAAACTCTTCTAATGTGTAGCCAAAGTTAAGAAGAAAATTTTAGGGCATTTCTTTGTGGGAGTCAGGTGGATGAACCCTATTTATTATTTCCATCCTACTCTTTTAAGAGGGCCTGAACTATGCTATACCTCTATTCAAAAGTCTGTGTCCTCACATATGTCATACTTAGCAATATTTCAGACATGACTCTAAGCACCACTTCTGGCTTCTCTCATGCCTTTGTACATTTCCCCTCTCTGCTCTCTGCTTTGGCCTTATGAAGACCATGTTGATTCATATCTTGACCACACCTACAGTGACCTTGGAGTAGAGCCAAATAGTCAGTATTTAAACTGAACTGCCATTCTTTCTGCAGTAAAATGGTGGAACATAGACCAGAACTTTGACAAAACACCCAAAGGTCACTGAGGACAGCCATCAGTGATTGCTTGCTAGCTATCTGCATTGTGCAATGAAACTGAGCTTGCTGAAAAGCTGAAGCCAGGATATATGGATATAAATTTAATCAACTTTAATCTCTGATTTGTTGATCATCTAATTGTTCTGCTACCAGTGTAAACTCATTCCTTTTAATATCCTCCTTGCCCAGCCCTTATAAGTCAATATGGATTCAATTACAGTCTAATTAGATTTTTGTTTCAATAAGGCCATGCATCTTTCTCTACATGTTTCTCGCTCTGTATGTGTGTTTGTGTGTGTGTGTGTGTGCGTGCGTGTGTGTGTGTGTGTGCGCGTGCGTGCGTGTGTGCGTGCATATGTGTGCAAAGCATGTGTGTGGTGAAACAGTACTTTTATTACATTTTTCAGAATAACAGAAATTGAGATAGAATGACCCTTTCTTTTGACCTTTGTTCCAGCTTAATATGGACCAAAGTCCAAAAATCCATTCTGCACAGAGATGGAGTTGCTAATATAATCAGTTAGTCATTCTTAGTTATTAGGGCAAGAATATGTTGTTTGAAAAGGGGATATGGGAAGTATGAAGTGTAGAACAATTAATAAAAGAAAGGGCATTGTGAGATGAAGTATTATTACACTGAAGAAGCTGTATGTTGCAGAAAACAGTCTCTCAAGACAGGAGGACATGGATTTGACATGCAGGACCATCTACACTGTCCGTTAGACAAGTCACTTAACGACCCAGAGCCTGGGATATCTCAGCTGTAACAATGAAGGATGCGGTGGTATCCACCACCCACAGTGGTTGTAAAGATTAACTGTGATGGCATAGAGTGCTAGGATAAGGCCTCATACAGAGCGATTGCTTAAGAAGTGGCAATTATCCTGAAGTTAAGTAGAATGGAGCCTTCCCGTGTCTGATAGATTTGTCTTTTATTTATTTAATCTCCACAGACAGAGCTTTATTTCTAGTCCTTCTTGTGGGAACAGATCCTGGTACTGACTGTCTTCAATTCTCTTGTCACAATTTAAATTTTCCCTTTTAGCGAGTCCTCAGAAGCAGCAGATGAAAGCTCATTATTACTGATCATGTATTGTCCCTTCATATGCTTGACAATTCATTAAATTCTTCCTTTGGCATCTCTAGTCTAAATGCACCACTTCTTTCATCTTTCTTTATAAAGACTAAATCCCCCACTTTCATAAAAATTGTTTTTTCTGTTCCTCCAATTTCTTTACATCTTTCAGTTGTATATAATGTGCTTGAAATGTCTTTGAAGTTCCCATTTCTGAAGCACCTAGTTATTTTTTCTGTTGAAATGTTTGTACAAAGGTGTATCTGTAGAAGCATATTACTCACACGGCAGGGAACCCAGACATTTCTTCCCTATGCTGACCACCCTAAGTGAAGGCCAAATACTGAAGAAAAAAAAAAACAACAACCTTTTGAGTGCTGAACTTGCAAACCTTCATATAAAGGGCCCCATTGAAACAGCCTGTCTGCACTGTCACCAAACACTAATTCTCGCCTTTCTCCTTGGGTCAGACAGCAATTCTAGACTGAGATTGAATCTCAGCCCCAGCCTCAGTTGTTTAGACATGTCTGTGAGGCTGGGACAGTCAGGAGTGTTGGCAGGATGCGTGTCATTGCTGGCACTTCAGCAAACCTCATCTGGACTGGAAGCATAGTGCAAACAGCCGCTAGAACTGTAAGGGAAACTTTATCAGAAGAAAACATCTCTTCAGAGATTCTACTACTGCCATATATGGGGCAGACAGATCTCAAACTAAACCCACACCCAGCTCCCCCCCTCCACCATTTATCATTTCGGCTTCCCGTCTCCTGTCTATGTTGCCAAGTCAAAGGGGGAGGCTATGTACTTGGACTATGGTCAAGGGGGAAGAGTTTGGGGGTAAGCTGCTGAATGTATTCAAAGCCAATCATGTATTTTATAGATTATGTGTATATGTCACACTTATGTGTGCACCAGGCAGTACACAAATGCTTGAGTGTAGAGTGACTCACTTGATCCTCAAAACAGTAGTGGGAACTATTTTCATTCCTATTCTGCAGCTAGGAAGCGGAGACAGAAATTCTAAGTGATCTGCCCCACAGTAAGAGAAGATGCAGAATCAAAAGTTGAGCCTATTCATTCTGATTCCAAAGTTAACTATTGGGATACTTTTAAAATTTACTTGCATCAGTATATGCTAAATGCTTCTCTTTCCCAGAAAAATAAGATGCAAGTTCCAGGACCATTTTTGTCCATTTTATCTCTAGCATTGAGCCAAGACAAGGTACTTAGTGGTTACTTAACAAATGTCTCCTGATTGAATGGAAGTAGATATCTACACCCAATAGTCTTTGAGTATGAAGAGAGAGAAGGTCCCCCTCCAGTTATGAGTGAGTAGGTTAAGGCCTTACAGAGAATAATGGGCAGTATAAGTTAGTCTTAAGATGATTTGCCTGTACCATGAGAAGTATATATTACTTATTTACTGTCTTGCATCAGGAGAGATTCTTGTCAAAGTACTAGAAGTATGCCTTAAAAGTAAGTGAAGCAATTTGGGCCTCTGGAGTCAGAGTAATGGGGTTCTATCTTTCTTTCTGTCTCTTATTCCCATGAATTATCTCACAAATTATTTCATTTTCGGCCATGCCATATGCCATATAGGACAGGTATCATAAAAGTCAGTAACTGAAAAGAGGGAGGATCCTATCTGGAGAGTAGGAAAGAAATCCCTGGAGCATCTCACCTCCATCAACTGCTATGATTTCCAGGTTACTTTGTCCTCCCCAGGGTGAGAAGAAAAGGGAACCAAAGTAAGGGAGAAAACGGGTGACAGTCTTATGGTCTCTGAATCTCTGAATTTCTGATACTACCATCAAACTAGCACTCCTGTCCACGCTATTTGTACTGTTTGTTGTGCATTGTATGTGGTCCCAATACTTTAATGTTTTATTATTTGTTTGGTAAACGAGTGAAAATAACTTGAAACAGAATGTCCCCGTATATCCCCAGCTTGCCTCACATTTGTGATCCTCTTGCCTCAGCTTCCTTAATGCTG